GATGTGCAGGTGGACTAGGCAGTTACCAAGTGCAGCAGACTGCTGGGGGGTAATAAAAGGGCCACAGACCTATAGGCTTTCTTGGCCTATGACAAGCGCTGCTGAGTTAGCCTTGCTGCAATTGCCAACACTGGCAGGGCCAGGGAGGCTGCTACTGCTGCAGGAATATGCCCTCTGAGCAACAGGAACTGCAGCTCCTACCCTCCAGAATGGCAGTCAGAGAAGTTAGTCCTTTCTCTCACATCCCCCTCCAGTCCTGATTCTTTGCTTCCTCTCCTAAAGGCACCAATCCTGCTTTCACACATGCCATCACAAGCAGTAGCCTAAGGGGCACAGTTGGGCAGCTGCTTTGGATTCAGAGTAGAAACAGAGCACTTCTGTAGCTCCCTTGGAGGTGTGCAGAAACCAAGGCAGATCTGCACTGTGAGATGACAGTGGTTGCAAGGGTATTGAGTGGTAGAGGGAGAGAGGAAGACTTCTGTTTGTCCCTGAAAACTCCCACAACTCCTCTGCAGCATCCTAACTCGTCTTCTCTCACCTCACATCTGCTTTGCACTGCCACCACAAATGGCTTCTTTGGTCTTCACATTTAGGGATGGCAGCATTCAGAAGTTTGCTAATACTGAGGCAGCGTGCTGCTCCTGCCCTCCTCTGTTCCTTCTAGGCTGCCTGCTTGTGGCTGAGATGTTCTCAAGTTAAACTTTTAAAAGAAATTGGTCTCCTCCAAATTTGCTCCTGGGATGCAAATTCCAAAGAATTTTGCATTACGCCCTTTAATGTATTCCCTATACCTCCTCCTTTAAAGACTTGGTTCCCAAGTCCAGCGGATTTACTGATCTCTTTGCTTGCACAAAGTTTGCCCATTGGAAATAAATGGAAACTCTCAGTTATGATTTACTCTTATTTATCCAACCACTCAGTTTGAAATAAACTGTATAACTGTAGGACTTGAAAGGACCTTAAGAGCTCACATAGTCCATCTCTGCCCCAAGGGATGATCAGCTGTCCAGATCTCCATCACTCCTGACAGGCATGTGTTTAACTTGCTCTTTTAAACCTCCACTGGCAGAGACTCCATAACCTCCCCAGGCAATCTGTTCCTTGTATTACTCTCCCTGCCCTCAAAAAGCGTTCCCCAATGTCTCATCTGAATCTCTTTTCCTGCAATTTAAGGCCATTATTGCTTGTCCTCTCTGCCATGGGTGTAAAGAAAAGGTTACTGTCTTCATGGCAGCTTCCTCCTTCCTCATAAACCCTTTCAGTCTTCTCTTACCAGGCTAAGCAGCTCCCAGCTCATTCAGTCTTTCCTCACTAGTTGTGGTTTCTATATCTCTGAGCATTTCTGGTGTTGTTTGCTGGACTAAATCAAGGAAATATGCATCTCTCCTAAAATGTAACATCCAAAACTTGATGCAGTCAAGGCTAAATTGAAAAAGGATTACTTCACATTATCTTACACATGACACTCCTATTTCTACATCCCAGCATGATGTTTGCTTTCTTTGCAACAGGTGATTTACTACTATTGACTCACAGGCAGTTTGTGATCATCTGTAACCCTCTTTATCCTTCTCAGCAGAACTATACCTGGCTTCTCCCATTTTGTGCTGATATTATCGATTGCTTCTCAGCACCTCCTACTCATTGTCATTGCTTTGGATCCAATTCTTTGAAGATTATTTCCCCAATCCATCTAGATAATTTTGAATATGAATCCTGTCCCCAGTACCATGTACATGCTTTTCAAGAATGTATTCTATCATTTATTAGGGGCATACATTATTCCATAACCTAAATCATCAATGACTACGGTACCCAACTTGATGCATCCTTCTAGTCACCCAGTGAATCACTGATAACTGTTTTACAAGTAGAGTTTTCCAAACAGTTTTGAATTCATATCATAGTAATTTTATCCAGGCTGCACTACTACAGACTGCTAATGGAATTCTCACATGAGGCTGCATCAAAACCTAACAAGTCAAGGTGCTTTGTCGTTATCTACAAGGCTTGTTACCTGTCAGAGTAGGAAATCAGGTTGGCTTTATACAATTTGCTCCTGACAAAATCAAATTGCCTGTTATTTACCATGTTGCTATCCACCTCATGATCAATCTATTGTTAGGTCCCACATAAAGCTTTCCCATAAAATTCTCTCTGCTAACTGAAATCAAGGCTACAATAGGAGCACTTTTGATGAGGCTCAGTGATTATTTGGTGATGAAGTCTTTCAGCTATCACATTCAAGAATAACCAGACCCTACTTTTATTAATAGCACTTATTTTACAATCTAAATTTCAGAAAATACAGCCTTCTAAACTGACTCAATTCGTAGTTATATTTCTCTCTCATACATCTTGAAGTGCTTTATGATCCCATGGGCTAGAGCAGACACCCAGAAGTAACATTTTCCCAGTTCTTCTCCAAGGGATTTTAACCCAAGTCAATTCTCCTTCAGCTTTGCTACTGCTTATTTGCCCATTACACCCTTAATGTGCATAATCCCAGCTAACTTAATCTTTGCTTCTGCCTTTCCTAAAATACACCCTTCAATACCCGTGTTCCAATCATGACTGTTACTCTAACACGTTCCTATAATAACCAGTTAATACAAAGGTATTTTGCTGGTTTTAATGTTCTTTCAACTAATGTCAGTTGCTTCAATTTAATCTTGCCAATTTTTCTAGCTAAACTGTGTACAAGTGTTCCCTAAACAGTATCAGTAGTTTCACCCTATTCCAGTCAACATTTGTACCCTCGTTTTCTTCACCTTTATGTTTTATTGCTTGCTATACATCCAGATGTTGCTATATACATTTTTACCCAATGATCTATGTATCAAACAAATAAATGTAGGGACAGATGTTGTACAAGCCTCTCCCAAACTTCCACACTTTTCCCTAGACTAAGCATTCATTATAATTGTGCTACCTCAATGTCAGAAATTATTCTCTCTGGCATAGAGGAGATGTATCTCCCTGGAGGATGACTCTCCTTTTGGGAATGCCTCTCAGTGGTTAGGCTTACCGAAAACTTTCCCAATAAGATCAACCCCGTAACTCTTGCCACCTCTGTACACATGAGAAATCCCACTGCAGATCACCTGAGTTTCATTTTCTGCTCTGAGCACTTTTGTTAGCACAGCAGAGGTATTTTTGACCTTTTCTGGTGGGATTCTGGCAGCAACATTTCTCCTGGCATGAAGGTCAACCACTCTATTTGTGGTTGAAGAGTGAAAGGTTGAAGCTCAAATGAAGGGGAAGGAGAGACAGTCATTCTAGCAAGCACAGAGCATGACAGGAGGAAGGGAAAGGTCTGGGTTGTTTCTGCTGTATGAGAGGCTCTAAGTTATGGATGCTTTTCTATACTGTCCCTATAGCCTGCTCTGAGAGGTGCATGGACTGAGAAATTTACGCTGCTGTGGCTCCCTTGGAAAACAGCAAGGCTTTAGAACTGGCAGAATGCTGTCCTCATTTGCTGATTCTTCTACTGCAGGTCTTTCTGGTTTCTCTCACTGTGAATGACCCTTATCTTTTCTCTGTGTACTCAACTATGTCCACCCTTTTTCTTTTCTTTGAATTGATGGATTCTCTTGCTGTTGCATCTTCTGCATCCCTTTGCAGTCTCCAGTACAGCAAGCCTGTTCTCCATTCCATTTCTCCTCCACCAGCCAGTCTTTTCTTCTGCACATATCCTCACCTAGTCTATATTCAAGGTCCTTCCATTCAACTAGTATCATGGATCTGGAACACTGCTGTATAACCACACCTAACCCTTGTAGATAAAAGTTCACTGAACAGAAGTGAAGCCCAATGGTAACAGGGAAACTGGTCTGGAGAGAAGTTTGTGATAATGTGGAAAGCCATAAAAACCTGGAGATTTAGCACATTGAGAAGTTTTAAGGGCAATTACAAATATTCTTGAGAGAAAAAGGAAAACTTTTCTCTTGAGATGCCTCTCCTCACAGACTGGTAGAAGAAGTATTATTACAAGTCAGGGATAAAATGACACAGTAAGTCCTGAAATGTAGTTCGGTAAATAAACCAACTTACATTCCTATAGCACCTGGAACATGATACCTATAATCAGCAACCAAAAGAGAGAGAATAGGAGAAGTAACAGAGGGACATAGGGCCCCAGGAACACACCATTAAAAAATTGTATTTAGAATTTCTAAGTCTCTGAGGAACAGCAGATGCAGAAGTCAATTATAGCACCTCAAAGGGAGAGTTCCAAATAGCATTCCTAGTGGGAAATTTCTCAGACTTGACTGCTTACAAGCTTGCAGCTCCCGTGATCTTTTCCATTCCACAAGGCAATTGTGAATCTCCGCTACTGTGGGAGGGCAGCTTTTTCATGTAAGGTGTGAGTGTAACAAACGTGAGCTGTTGTGTGCATGTGTAATCCAGTGATTTAATAGACCTGAGCAAAATTTGGAATCTCTATGCCAAAGGAAGTTCTGCAATTTGAAATCTGCTTTTGTACAAATTAAAGAAAATAAAAAAGAACAAAATGTAGAAAGCCCCAATGAAAATTGTTGATTTTAGGTCAATCAGAATGTTTTGCCTGTATCTTGACTTTAATGTTACATTATACTGGAGTTTCAAAGAGAAAATAGGAATCCAAGCTAGAAGTTATAAAAAAGCCTAAATGAAACATTTCAACCTACTGGAAGTGTTGATGTGTTTTCTGAGTGAAATTTCATCAAACAGGGCACATTTGTTCAGACCCTGAAGCTTTCATAAAATCAGCCTTTACAAATGGAAAATTGTTAGATTCAAAAAAAAACAACCCTCAAGTACATCTCCTGTTGAGTTTCTAACCTTCAGCACTGGAAGCACAATCACTGTCACTTGTGTCACTAAACAGCCCTCTAGGTGTGAGTGGCAACAATCTCAGCAGTTTCTCTGACCAGACACTCAAGAGAGTAAACTCAAATTCATGCGGTTTCACACTTGTGACCTGCAGATCTGTAGCCTGTCTCTAAGAGTCCATGGAGCACAGTGTGTTTTGCTAGGTCAGAACTCACTATATGAGGTGAAATTTCCACTGGAAATGTTTGGTTGTTTCTGGTTTGGAACAGCATGTTTGTCCCCAGTGTTCAGCTGCCTCATGGGACACAGAGGATGCAAAGTCACTGCACTCAGCCTTGCCTTGCTGCAGGAGCAGAGGAAAATGTACTGGCCAGCTATTGAGCAGCCCCAAGGAAAATCTTCTCCTCTAAGGAAGAGAAAAGCTCTCTGAAAGAGGCAGCTGATAACTTCAGCTTCCTTTGAAAGCCAGTCTCTTACCTCTGTCTCCAGGATGAGCATGGATCTGGGGTGACGGCTCTTTTTGGCTTTCCTGGTTAGTCTCCACTGCGTGTCTCACGTAACTCTTGCGTTGTGTTACTGAAATGACTCTTCGTTCCCTTTTGCGCAGTCACTCTCGCCTACATTTCTGGAGAGTGATAAATACGTTAACAAACGCAGCTCTCTGCCTATCAAACCTGGAAATCAGGACAGCTGAAAATGCAGAAGATCAAACTTTGCAATCCCTATCTGCTGCAATGCAGCAGATGAAGGACTTTGAAATACAGCAATTGCGTTGGATAGTTATCACTGGGTGAAACATTTGGGCTGTTGATGCATCAGATCTAGCCTCCCTACTCAACAGATTGCCAAGTAGGAAAGGTTCTTCAGGGATGTAATCCACTGCCTGCTTTTGTCATGGAGACCTTTCTTGCTTCATTCAGTGACAATGAATCATACCCCTTATCTTCAGAATGAAGTGTTTCTCTTCAGGTGAAGTAGTGGTCTAGTATCAGTGAAGAGTCAGTAGGACAAAAAATTGCTCACTATACATAGTAACAAGAGAGTGCAGGGAAATCACTGCAGCTTGCACTTTGCTGGCCATTTTGGACTAGGAGAAGGTTTAATTACAGTACAGACAGTGGGATTTGCCCGAGTAAATACAGGGAGATGCGCTGCAGAAATTTGCATCTGGGGAAGCCATTGTAAGCTTCCCTTGTAAGTCAGTAAAGCCCTAATCAATAGAACTAATGCTGTTTAGGGTACAGTTCATTGCATCCTAAAATAAACAGCTATGTTTTATCTGCTAAAGCACTCTCCTCAGTATCCATTAACAATAATGGCATAGAGATGTCTAGGAGGGGTTGTATCTAGGGCATAGACACCTGTGTGGTACATACCCATCACTGGGACAAGTCCTACCCTGCTTTCCTTTCTGAGATATAAATGGGGCCCTGGTAGACCAGCAGGGAATAGCCTTGCATTATCTGCACACATTTGGTTGGGGACTTTGCTTCTATATTCTCTGGTAGCTAATGGTCTGTTCCATTAAACCTTAAGGTTAAGTTGACCTTGTAAAGCTGAAGAAGTACATTTCTCAAATTGCACACAGCAAATATACGTGTGCACACATTTATATATTCGTGAAAGAAATTAACCCTCCCTCTCTAACTCGTTTCCCACTTTCCTTTCAGTGGCAAGATAATCCACTTAAATAGAGTTCCCAACCTTTCTACAGGCATAAAACAACATGAAAAAGATGGAAAAACCCAACTGCTTGGTTCCTTTCCTGTTCACAGAATAAAAAGAATAATTATTTCCTTATTAAAACAAATATTAAGTATTTTCTAAGCGTTCATATTTCTTTTTTTTTTTAATTCATTATACCACCTCTTAAAACACATTTAAAAAAGACAACTTAATAAAAATAAACCCAAACTGATGCAAACAGAATAATTGGCAAGGCGTGAAAATACTGCTCGTATCCTGGAGACAGGCTGCATTGTGGGTCGTTTCTTAATTTTCACTCTATTAAGGTAATTTCCTGAGACTGTGGCTTTTTTTTTTCCGGCAGCCATCCTTACACACTGTCATCCCTGCCTTCCTCACATGCTGGGGGGGGGGGGGGGGGGTTTGTTTGAGGTTATTTTGTTCCTGATCAGGAAAAATAACCACAAATATTGGTTCTATTTTCCATAAATCTAGAGGCAAACACGCTGGTCTCTGAATCCAGAGGCATGGAAGAGAACAGTGAAAGTAGATTTCCAAATGTAACTTCCACATCACTGCAATGTCTGCTCAACAGCATCTTTATTGGATGACTCCCATGAGAAGCCAAGGTTTAAGGCATCACTGAGCACTAAAATCCTTGCTATTCTACCCAGAAAGATGTCTGCACCACCAGTGAACCCTAATTTGGATCCAGATTTCATTCTAAGCTTACAGCAGATTCATAGCAATTTGTAAATATGGAAGCATATGAGTTTCTGACATCAGAAATACAATTTCTGGCTAGACTGACATCCACGTCTTCTTCATTACTTAGTTTCTTTTCTTGCTGGTGACACCTCTCCTATGCTCCTCCTTTTGAGCACTAAATGTTGGCACAACCCATCAAAGCTAGTAGATGTACCTGCCATAAGATGCAAGTACCCTAAGGAAGTTCATAACTAAATCTAGATGTTGCAGAGAACTGTCCTAGCTTGAAACGATCAGCATGTCTTCCAATATGTCAAGAGTGATACAAGACCAAATGAAACTGATTTTAGAGCTACAATGAAATTCTTGTATTAAATAAGACTAAAACCTTTGTCTAAAATTATGATTGCCCTACCTGAAATTACTTTAGAAAGCTTTGGAATTGAAAAAGTCTTTGGCCTCTTCATTGTTTCCATTTTTTCCCTTTCTTCCAGCCAGAACCACATATGGAAAAGTTTTAACTGGAAGCAAGAATTATCAGATGTTCTCAAACTAAAATTTGCTGCCTGTGATCAGAACCTGGCATAGCAGAGCAGGCAAAGTGTTCCTCCATTACTGTTTATCTCTCCACTTCAGACACTTGCTATTCCTCTGTGTGCTTGCGTTTGCATGTGCACAGGATTTTACAATGACTTTGAAAATCAAAAATACCTTAAAAATAATTATTATGTAGATGTCTTGTGAATATTTCCCAAAAGTGTGTTGGAGATTGCAGACAAACTTCCCTGAACATGAAATATTTAGTCTTGTGGTCACCTTCACCTGTGCACCAGGAGAACTGATTCAGAACCTCTTATATGTGGTATAAACCTTTGGAGAACAAGTAAAAGGTACTCTCTTTCTTTACTAACCTTGATCATTAGGAATCTCACAGCCTTTCAGCCTTGTATCAGTGACATGAATAGCTCACATTCTCTTTTGAACCATTGGCAGGCATAAAACAGCCAGAATGTTATTGTTGAATCTGATTTTTGTTTCAGATGCATTTGACAATAAGAAATAATTGTCTTCTTATTTGCTGCATGTCATTAAAAGCAGGCATGATCTGGATGATAGCCCAGAATGAGAAACGGGGAACTGGGTTCCACAAGCAGCTTTTGCCACAGAGATAAGAACCAGCCTCGCAGAAGGCACTTCATCTCTCTGCCTCCTTTCTGTCTCACACAGCAAGCCTAAGTGAAAGCTCTCTGGCTTTTCACCTTTGTAGGTGAAAAATACTAGATAAAGAGCATGTGTCTGCTTACATTATTGGCCATTTCTCTCTGTTCTGGATTTTCAGAGGAGTTAAATTATTTTGACACTCAGGAGTATACACAAATGAAAGATTAATACCATAGGTATGCCTGCAATATACAGCAAGGCAGAGCTACACAAAGCAGCCTGAAAGGAATTGCTTTAGGTTAGAGAAGCAGACCTAACCATGATGGTGAGTGGAATAAATGAGTCAGTAAGGAGACAGGTTCTTTCTGTTGCCCAAGGTTTTAGAGATAGCACAAAGATCTTTTACTGTACTACATTATAGCTTATAACTTACCCATAGCCATTCCTCCAAGTCCCCAGTCTCCTCTTGGAAGTTCCATTTCTTTATGCATTTTTATGAGTAAATACTAAAGCCACTGGGGGGAAACTGTAAGGCTTTAGTAGGAGGACCTGTGTTAGCATTTAAATGAAACCACTTGTGGGCTTGGAGCACAGGTCACACGGCCCCTCATTTCTACTGGGCACTGGGAGAGAAGATCCAATCCAGCTGTGCTTGTTAACTTAACAAGGAACTGGTGCTTGTTTGCAGATGGATGATTTCAGAAACAGAGAACGGGATTTGTACATTCATCAGATGATAAGCTTTCATTTCCTACTATCCCCTGTATCAGCAGCCCTGTGGATTTACTACAGGATCCCAGGTCTGAAACTTCCTAACTGATCCCTCAGCCAGTGAATAATGCAGCTCGCTGTCTGCCACTACCTCTTGTTTGTACCTACCACACGATGGTGATGACCACCAAAACTGTGAATAGTTTGGGACTCATCTGTCTGAGAACACTTGAGAATGACTGCTATTTCTGATGGATTCTCAGAGCCCAAACTGGTGACTTGTTTGCAGGAGAAGCAAAGTATGTAACTCATAAAGGAAGGCTGGATTCATCACCACTCAGCGCAGATTCGGGGCTTGAAACTATTTAGTTATTTAGTATATCCATACTAACCCAGCGGGCACCGCTGTTACCAACTCCCTCTATAGGATGCCCTTTATGTCAGACTATAGCAACCTCCTCTTGTCTACTGGAAGAAGAGAATCAGCCTCTTCTGGAAACCACACTCCAGGTGGAGCTCCAGCTGGAGGGCCAGGGCAAAAGGCAACCAGAGGACCCTGGGAGGGAGAAAAGGGACATCTCTGAAGCATCTGATGAACAGAGCAAGCAAGACCTAAACAATTATGTGTCCCCTGTTTTTACACTGACCTTGTTCATGGCTACTGTCATTTGGAAGTGCAGCTAGCAGAGCAAAGGCAAAAAGAGGATGTGAAAGAGGAGATGAGGTAGAAGAGCAGAAAGCTGTCAGCAAAAGCAAAAGCTAGAGCAGGAAGAAGCACATAGACACAGAAGAGTGAAAAGGGGAACCTAAACCACTGACAAAGCACTGCCTGCAAGCATGTAACAAGTAGCAAATACGGGTGGCTCCAGAAAACACACATTCTAGCCTCCTATCCACCTCCTGCATTTTCACTCCTTCAACACCAACAGCCTCCGAAGTCTCCAGAAGACTATACTGAACAGAAGATCAGCCATACCAAAGACTAACCCACACCAACAGCTACAGATAGCCACAGGACAAGAGATGAAAAGACTGACAGCATTGCCCAAGTGGTAAGTCCCAAATGAGTCTTAGCAGAGAAGTCAGGAGATGCTCAGATGGCTCTCAGAGACTCTGGCTCATGCTAGAGAAGAACAAGAAACATCCATAGGCAACTAATAAAACCTCTTTTCTTACATTAACATATCATAGGTCCCCAGCTTTCTGCAGGTCTACTGCCCACAGTCTGAGATGCATTGTCTGTTTTTCCTTTTTATTTTCCCTCTCCCCATTTCTATCCTGTGTTTCACATGCACTCCATTTGTTTTTCACTCTACCTTATTCCCAACTGCCTTTTCACCTCACTTGTTTTTCCTTCAATAGCTGTTTTCTCTTTCTCTGCTTTTCTCTTTCCTGAGGGAAGCATGGACTAGGAAACATCTGAATTAAAATGTGTGCACATCTGATGCATGCAAGAACTTGATACGAAGCATGAGAAGTTTGCCGTATCATCAGCAATTAGTTCTTTGACAGCCATCTTTCTAACAGCAGGATTTTCTTTGTTGTACCTGGTACCATCAGCTCAGTTAAGGGAAATTCAATGAATTTGGGATTGATAAAACCCCCACACAATCAAGTTGTGAAAGAGTGAGAGACGCATTTTTGGTACCCGTTCTGACTCAAATTGCTTTTCAGCATTGAAAGTAAAACATTCTATTTACAAAATACACAGGGAAAAAAACAACAAAACAAAACCCCGAGCATGATGTATCCTGGACAACTGAAGTTTAAACATGCATAATCGAATCTGTACAAATTCAAAAGATTTCTCTTATTTCATACGAACAGTTAATTGCCGGTGCTAGGGATAGACCAAACAATACGGAAACTGTCTACTTATTGAAAATAACTGAAGTGGAAAGAAAACAAAAAGTGAGAAAGAAACAGATAAAAGATATATTTTGGGTTTTTTAACACCTGACAACGAATAGAACACTGTAAATTAAAGAGCTCTGTTTTGCCAAGAGTTACACCACTGTGTAACAGGGGACAGAGCTGGGCCCAGCTGATGCCGCAGGGATTTTTGCTGACCCCTTGTAAAGCAGAGTTGTTGCTGTCACCTTGTATACATTTTTTCCCCCTCCCTTGTCCTCCCCAAGGCAAAATCCCTGAATCAGCCGTATGCAAGCAAGGCATTTTGCCACTGTACAAGCAAAATGGGGATCTCTTGAACACTCTCATGGCAACCGTCCCACATCCCACTAGTATATTTCAGCTGTCAGGTGAATTAAATATCGCCCTTTAAGCAAACTCATGAAAATGGAAGAGCCTCACCATTTTGTCTTTCTCAAGATGAGTCTGCCATCTCAGGCTAAAGGAGGGCAAGAGACACGCTCATGTCATTTGGACTCCACCCAGTGGTGTGAAGGGCAGATATTCAGGAGTCTGACATCCAGTGAGTAACCCAGTAAGAGTCTTTCCAAAGGACTCAGCCCCTATTAAGCCCTTCAGAATACAGCCAGGTTTTTGGATGCTCCCAGACTTCAGCGCACAAGAAGTGCAAGTGCTGAGGGCTTCTGAGGACCCTGCATAGCTCAGCTTCGCAGACTGTGGCACCAGAAAGCTCATGCTGACCAGCAATCATGTGTCTTTTTTTAGCCAAAAAATACCATAAAACTAGATTGCTTTGTGTGGTTCTGTAGATCCCACACTCAGGCACTGACAGCTCAAATGTAGCTGTCACTGAATTTGGGCTCGACTGCATTTCGATGTGCTGCCCAGACAGGATGCTCCAATTGTCTCAGTACTGTCTCCAACTTGGTATCCAGCCATGAGCCTGACATTCTCCCCTGAGCCAGCAGAAGTCCTCAAGGACATCACGTTCCCCACTGCTGGAGAGTGAGTCCACAAATGTGACAGCCTCCTGCCACCTGCCATGGGCCTGCCCAGCCAAATCAGACTGATGCTAGTCTGTGGCGAGACGGTGTTTGCTATGTCCCGAAGGAAAGCGAAGCTCACTTGGAGTTACAGGCTTACGGTTTCGGAATCTTTCTGCTTCAGCTGATATATTGTCTAAATCTAAAACTTATTTAAAAACCTGTCTGGATGTGACAGCTTTTAATTAATCTTCTCTTAGTTTTTATACTATATAGTACCTTGAAGACGCAAGATCAATCACTGCTGTATTGTAGTGTAGAGTTGGGAGACAGAAAGATAAATGAGCTATCAAGTTTAGCATTTTGATAGCTAATTTTAATTTTAACTAGCTCGGGAACATACTGTAGATAGGTGGATAAAGTCATGAAATGGAGCATTCATCTTTAGGACCCAAGCTAGAGTCCATCAGAAAGGAACAGAAAGAGTTCCTCAATGGCTGGCCAGTCTCACACAGACTTTCCAAAAACTAAACTATTGCTGAGAATGAGAAACATCATCAAACATCAGTAATAACTATCACACAAGTCTGATGGGATGTGACTATATTTGGCACCTTACATCTGCATATTCTACAGCTTCCACCCTCCGAAGACTCATTCATAAAAGCATTGGGAGTATTTCCAATGCATAATATTAGGCATACATAAGATTCATGGCAGAAGTAGGTCTCACTACTTTATAGAGAGGGGTAAATAGAGTGTCGTGCGCATGATGAGGAAAAGAGAGGG